AAACAATGATGGAATATTATTCGAAGGAAATAGCCTCCAGTTCTTCTCTGGTGGATCAGGTACGAGAGATTTGTTGTGGGCTAAACTACATCCATTCTCTCGATCTTCCTTGGCTTTCAGCCATTTTCCATCATCGATTCCATGATCGAGTAAATGGTGATTTCCACTGGCGATGCAGTCCTTGACACGAGTGATTAACTCTTGACGTTTGCCACTTTGTTTTAGGCCTCTGCACTTTAACCAGCGCTTTAGTTGCTCAACCGTATAATCTTCAGGGCAGCTGRTAAATTTTGAGCCAGGAACGTCGTCGTTTTCGGTCAAAATAACTACTTTTTTCTTCAACAAACTATCTTGTTTTGCCATAAAATATTATAGTAAATGTATAGCACATCCGGTTCGAATGTCCGACCCTCGTATTACGTTACATTTTAGTGACGTCACGTCCGCGCATCGCTATTGTTTGGTGAGATACACTTCAGTTGCAGGTGAGACCGATGATACACATATTTAACCATCATGATGTAACTGGTGATTACTTGATACGCTTTAGTTGTTTGGTGAGATACACTTTAGTTGCAGGTGAGACCAATGATACACATATTTCACCATCATGATGTAACTGGCGATTACTTGATGCACTTTAGTTGTTTGGTTGAGATACTCTTTAGTTGCAGATGAAAACCATGATACAAACATTTCATGATCATGATGTAACTGGTGATTACTTGATACGCTTTAGTTGTTTGGTGAGATACACTTTAGTTGCAGGTGAGACCGATGATACACATATTTTACCCTCATGATGTAACTGGTGATTACTTGATACGCTTTAGTTGTTTGGTGAGATACACTTCAGTTGCAGGTGAGACCAATGATACACACATTTCACCATCATGATGTAACTGGTGATTACTTGATACGCTTTAGTTGTTTGGTGAGATACACTTTAGTTGCAGATGAAAACCATGATACAAACATTTCACCATCATAATGTAACTGGTGATTACTTGATGCACTTTGGTTGTTTGGTGAGATACTCTTTAGTTGCAGATGAAAACCATGATACAAACATTACACCATCATAATGTAACTGGTGATTACTTGATACGCTTTAGTTGTTTGGTAAGATACACTTCAGTTGCAGGTGAGACCGATGATACACATATTTCACCATCATAATGTAACTGGTGATTACTTGATAATTCATTTACAGGTGGTTACAACGAAACACGCAACTCCCAATCATTATATAACCGGTGATTACATGGAATAGTTACTTGTTAGTCAGCATCAAGAACMCCACTTTTAACTGAAAGCATAATCGTATGAAATGTTTTTTCTTTGTGTTTTRTTTTTGTTCGGTGTGTTTACTGAAGGTAAGACTAAGCCGCCAATAATACGTACCACAGAGCAGTACCATCAAACGTTCAACAACATGACCAGCAAAAGCGAGTTGGAAAATAATTTGAGGTAATTTGTTTGTTGTTTTGCTAGTTCAGAGTACTCTGTTTAGAAACAGGATACAATGACTGATTAAACGTCTCTTATTATGCAATTTCTATATCGAAATATCGACTTATGGCACCAATATGCAACTACATCCGTTTTCAATATTCTCACAGGAATGCGACCCATGAGTTTATATCTTAAATAGTACTGTCGCTTTCTTTCCCTGATCAACTCACAAAGACCTTGCTTTTAGTTGGCATCACACATAAATGTTTCTTTACCACATTTTATCTACACTCCTTTCACTTTTAACGTCTTTTCCATGTAATTTTGCCGAGCCAGAAAATRAAGCATTTTTTTAGTTTGGTATATGTCCCGCTAAATCATAAAATAAATGGCCTTCGGATAGTATATCTTTTATTGGCTTGTGTCGTGTATCTCCCAAAATCCTCCTACGTGCTATATTTCACCAACAGGTAGAGTCATAGGTACTAGCTTCTCATTGCTTTTAAGTAGATGTAAGCCAAACCCCACGCACGTGTTCATCGCCACTGTCGTTTAGTGTGTGCACTCATGTATTGTCTTATTAATTTACCAGCACTAAAGTCAAGGTATTTTCTTATAGAGAAAAAATTTTTTATCAGGTTTTTCTCCAGCATTCCGCACATGGAGACGTCCATTGGAAATGAAAATATAACAAATCACATCCGGGACACCTGGAAGAGCTACGGATTCGAGGTTGAGGAACCTGAGTACGAGGTCCTTATGTCTCTTCCTCAAGAAGACAACCCTAACAAAGTATCTATAATCAACGACGACACCAAGGAAGTAGATTACGAAATAGTAGGACAACTAAATGTAAGTATGAGAGATCAAGAATTATTAATATTACTCATGAATTGGTGGCCTTGTTGGTCAGGGAACTAAATGACTCTTGGCAAATATTTCTTTTTTAGTATTTTTACAAAAGTGAATATAATAAATCCGTCGCGTTCATTGGTCACAATTTACGTCTTTTGCTGTGTAGGTGAATAAATCGCACGCGCGCACGCTTGTTCATCGATTTGTGCCGCTTACAGAGATAAATATAAAAATTGGAATAAAAAACCTCTCTCTCCATTATTTATTATATTCACTTAAATGACTAAATAAACATTCGCTTCAGGTTCAGTGAAGACTCGCGTCTTGGTTGATATTTCCCAATATTCACAATATTTCTAAAGTCGTAACAATTATACTCTTGCCGACTGACTTCTGTTCAAATAGGTAACCGCTGGTGGTCTCCAGGGCAACGATGTATTCAAATACAAACCATTCTTAGCCTACTCTCCTAATGGAACCGTAGAGGGAGAACTAGTTTATGCCAATTTGGGGTCAGAGAAGGATTTCCAAGAGTTAGAAAAAAGAAACATATCAGTAAAAGGAAAGATTGTCATGTTTAAAGATTTATTTGGAGAGGTAAATTGCAATTGGATTCTTTACAGTTAAAGGAGGACGCTTCGGCCTGCAATTTATTTTCCATATATGAAAATGCTGTATTTTAGCAATACTTATACAATTGATCGCCATATTTCGTTGCGGTGTATATCATACCATATACTGATCATTTTCAGGCTGCATCTGCTGGCTATGATACTGAAGTAAGCAAGTGTGCCATTTGCTACACGAATATTCCATTTTGCGTTCTAATCCCTCTTTTTTTGCGGAAACATCCCACCTCGCATCCCCACAAAATGCTTCAGTGGCTTGTTCAGCAGCGACGAGTATTGATAATCAATTTGGCGCGAAGCATGAGAGATGAGAATTCCTTAGTCCTATCTCTAAAAAATATTTCAAACTGGGAGTTGAGAAATTCCGGTTTGAAATGCTTGGTTAATACTAACCATATGCAAATTAAAGGTCAGGAATGCCAAGTTGAGAGGAGCAGTTGGGGCCATCGTATATCCTGATCCTATAACTCATGCACTAGAGGGAATTCAACCTGGCAATACGTACCCGCAAAAACCATGGATGCCTCCTAATGGTGTTCAAAGCAAGTCGTTGAGTAACATTTTAGGTGACAATAAAACCCCTCTTCTCCCTTCTAAACGTGGGATGTATCGTCGCCCTTTAAATCAAACAATGCTGTCTGATCTGATTCCTGCCCAATCGATTTCATATGAAGATGCTTCCATACTACTGAGAGTCGAATGAAAGGTAAAAGAACGTATGAACCTTATTAGTTAGGATGTAATGTTTCCGCATGCCATTTTCTTGTGAGAATATTTTCGTTGCTTGAGCAAAAACAAAATATTGGCAGTGAATATACACTTTCCTTGTCAAACGCTTTTTAAACGCGGCAGTAGACACACACACACACACACACACACACACACACACACACACACACACACACAGAAAAAAAAACATAGAAATGCCTAATTATCGGCAATGTATGAAGTTCACTTTTTATCTAATAAACAGGTGAAAAAGTCCCAACAAGCATGGCCGGTAACCTCCCCGTTGGTTACAGGTTTGGACCCGGTTTCAAGCCTAATTCCTCAAATAAAACTCTCATCGTTAAACTAGAAGTCAACAATCAGTACGTCACTAAGAAGATACGTAACGTCATAGCAACGATCTCCGGCTCAGAAGAACCTGACCGATATGTCCTGATTGGTAACCACAAAGATGCGGTAACGTTTGGAGGCAGTGACCCTTCGAGTGGAATGGCAGTACTGATGGAGATATCAAGAGTCTTGTGGAAACTCAAGCAAAATGGATGGAGACCAAGGAGGACAATAAAGTTGTGTAGCTGGGCTGGAAAGGAGTTTGAAATGTTAGGGTCATCTGAATGGGTAGAGGAAAATGAAGATATTTTAAGAGATAGAGTTGTAGCTTATCTAAATACTGATGTGGCTATAGGTGGTAACTTCGTATTGGCTCCTCAGTCAAGCACCATGTTAGGTGATCTTATTCTTAATCACGCTAAAAAATTCCAGGACCCTACTAACAGCAACCTGACAATCTATGATAATATGTTCCAGCGTATGCCAAAATACACAGATTACCCGGGGGAACCTTATGTTTACGAGTTTAGGCATTTTTCGGATACTTTGCCGTTCAGTATATTCCTAAGTCTTCCGGCAGCTGATTTTAGTTATTTTTTTGGATTTCAAATTGCTGCTCGACTTTTCTCTCTGTCTCACTCGCAGTACGATACCTTTTACTCAGTCAAAACGTTTGCAGATCCAAATTTCCTCTATTGCAAAACAATGACTCAATTCTTAGGTAGCATGCTCTTAAATGTTTCCGACTCTGTCATTTTGCCATTTAGCGTTCGTAAACTTGCCAAGTGCGTTGATCGAGCTTATCTTTCTATTTCCTCACCCAATCAACTGGATTCCTTACAAATGAATGAATTGAGACAATCTAAGGATGCGTTTTCCGCGATGGTCACTAATTTCGAGTCTGCAAAACAAAATATTGCAGGTCAAACGCAGAATCCATTGAAGTTACGCGCGCTCAATGATCAACTCTCAGGAATAGAAAAAAAGTTTTCGAGTCCTTATTCTAAAACAAACTGGCCAACTGACAAATCTCTGCTGTTTAATTGTAAATTCTGGAACATCAAAAAGGTTATGGAATTGAAAAACATTCCTGAAAGTGAGAAACGCGAGCGTTTGAAGTTTGAAATGTCGCTAATGATTCAGAAACTGAGAGCCGCTACAAAGTTCCTTAAACCTATAAACTAACAGTTTCGTGGAATGGTCAAAGCCACTATTCAATGGCAACTAGAAGTTAAATTAAATTAAGTTAAGTTAAGATGTTAATTTTTAGTGTGTTAAAACACACTTATTGATGATGTCTAATTCCTGCATATGGAGTATAACTAATAAAGAACTTGATATTAGCAGAAAATAAGTTTAGACTTATTTATTCACCACTTTTTGTGTGAGGCGTACGTTTGAATCCTATTGCTAGCATTTTTTGTCTTAACACGCGAGAGAGGTGTGGTTGGTTCGCGTAGAGAGCTCATTCAGCAGTAACCGAACATCCACATAAGACCGAACATTGCCCTGGCTGGGAGATTGAGAACCCCATTGTTTTTTGCAGTATACACACATAGTCAGGGGATCCTTTCAGATCCGACTCCACCCGAGAAACATAGATAGGGTCGTGGCATGGAAATCCCTAAGGCGTGGATACTGACGATGAGAAAACGCGATACTGACGATGAGAAAACGCTCTGGATGACAGAGACGCATCAACTACCAGTCTCCGCACAGACCGACCAACCAATCATAACAGACATGTTCTGACAAATGCTATATAACAAACTCACCATCCAGATATCGCCTGATGAAGACTGGCAGTTTGCACTGAGTCGAAATGCAATTTCGCAACCAAGCGGTTCAAAATGCAACAGGGAACCGGGCTGCGGGACATGAGCACTGAGTACATAGTAACACTTTTTTGTTTTCTGAAAAACATGTGTAGTGTCTTTACTGGATGCTCCTTTAACAGTACCGTATACAGTCTTTTGAAGAAAATAAAAAACGTTTTCGCTGACCGACTCCGCAACTACGCGACGAATTCGAACGGGAGTATATTGGGTAAAAATCACTGAAGCAGTAAAGTTTTAGCTCGCGTTTTAATCATAATCATGGAGAGTACAGCTCGAATGAATGTGACGTGTGCCTTCGTGTTCTGCGAAGTAAGTAATTGGGTGAAAACAAGTAAATAGCTACTAGTTTTCATGCCGAGGGCTTGGGTCATCCAAACCGCTAGCCATTTTCGCGGTAAATCAAAATGGAAACACAGTATACTCATCACTTTGCTAATGATATATATGTAGCTTAACACTTCAGTTACTTCTACCCATAATCCTTTTTAGTCTAGTAGATCTCGTAGTCGCGAAGCCGGTCAGTGACAAATATTTTTCAAAGGACTTTTAAGTGCCGCACTTTAAAAAGTTACTAACTGGTCCACGGGACACCAGTTTCAAGAAGGTTTTTTTGAATTCAAGCTGGCTATTTAGCCCTAAATAGAGGAATTAATCAGGAGGCCAACATTCGAGCATTAGAAGGTTTGAAGTGAAATGATCAATATTGACGGGTTTTATATCGAGTGAAAGGACTTGGGAGACTAAATAACTGTACACCAAGCTAACTAAAAGAATCTTTTAAATATATGTAGTCGAATGAGTCCTTTGAGCTCGAAAAATGCAACCAGATTTTGACCGAATGAGTGAGTAAAAATCACTGAGAATTAATGAAGATATTGTTGGCATCCTTTTCACGACTGACAGATTTCGACCCAGTACTCTACGACATGAAACTAGGCAATGCTAATAAGTATAAATATCATAAAGTTATACCAGTTTTATACCAGACCGCTGAGAATAGCTAGTTATATCTTTAATTTCAGGCAGAATAAGAAGTATTACTTCTTATTCTGCCTGAAATAGACCGCTACGGATCTTTGCCGTAGTCTATGCTTCATATTGTTGACGTAATCGTTAGCGGCTAGACATCTTCTTCTTTGGGTCTTTTCTCGGGTTTTGGCATATCAATAGGTACAATATTATCTGGTTTAAAGGAGCAATACTTTGAAGCAGGACATCCAACCACAATGATATGATTCTTTTTATACCACAACCTGAACATGCTGTTGTGAAATCCTCTTGCATCAAGATCCCATATCCTGAAGCATGTAGCTACATTGCTCCACGTTTGATAATCTTTTTTATGTTTCATCGTGATGTAAAACAAGTAGGTCTTGCCTTTAGTGTTTGGGACAAAGTTCTTGACATCTGAACAGGGGGTTTTCTTGTGGTCTAGAAGTGTGGCGATGCTAAAGAAACAACGGAAACCACTTTTAGGGACGGAAATTAAGATATTTTGTAGGGATCACATGGTTTTGGACAACAGGAAAGGGGAGCTGCTACACATTATATTGACCGGTAAGGGAGAGATCATTCAGAAGCAATACGTAGAACAAACTCCTTGGGATCTGAACATAACGTTTTCTTGTAATTTAGCAGTGTGGAGAAAAGTCTAGGTTGTGGTTGGCTAATTCCCACGAGTTTATTCGGGTGGCTAGTCGTGAGCTCACAGCCAACGAGGCCTTGCTCACGTACGACGAGAGTGAGTGTAACCAGAAGACGAGTAACATGAAAGTTTTTATACATCGAAAAATCACATTTTCTAAAATTACTTATAAATCCAGGATCCGGGAGAACCAAAGGAAATATTGCGTGGTCAGCCGTTCAGGCACTTCCGCTTTCATCATTGTATACAAATTGGTCGAGAATTATTCCATAACTTTCGAAAATGTGTAAAAATGGGCCAAAATCGATCAAAGATATATAGTTAATGCTTGTTAGCCTGGAATCAGCGTCTAAATATTCACAATACCAACGGTAAGTAAAGAAGGCACAATTTCAACAATACAAAAACTTTGAAATTCCACGGAACATTCACTGGGACTCATAAATATTCTGCACAAAATCGAGGGTAACCCTAAGTAGATGAGTCTGTCTCATCAAGGAAGAAAGCGGTAATTTGGAACTCGAAACTGGAGTATTAGTCTTCGAACCCGAATGGACTACGAGTCAATAGTCATAGCCCATTCGGGCTCGTGGACTAATTGCTAGATAGATCATGGATCATGGATCATTGATCATAGACTTTTCCTTTTTTTTTTTTTTTTTTTTTTTTCGTTTTTTTCATTATTTTTTTTTTTTTTTTTTTTTTAGCAAGTTTTTATCTTGCCGGTGGTCGTTANTTTTTTTTTTTTTTTTTTTTTTATCGTTTTTGTCAATAATCTATTTAATTTTTTGCTTTTAGCAAGTTTTTATCTTGCCGGTGGTCGTTACCTGATAAGTCTATGAATTTCTTTTTCGTAATTATCCTTCAGCATGACATTCACATCATTTAGTTGAACATTTGGTATGGTATTAAAAGCGCGTTGCTGGAAATACGCAGCCTGGAAGAACATTCCTACGTTCAGTCCTTTGGCGCCAAAATGATATGTTCGTGAAATATCCGGTATTATACATTCACGACCCTTGAGCTGTTCCTTGCCTCTCATCCACATGTCCCAGTCAAACAGGTTTTGAGGACCTGGCCATACTTTTTCGAGTTCACCCTTGTAAATTTTGCGACTCAAAACCCTGAAAGAAAAACTAACCTTATCAGCATATTTGTGGTACTTTCAATCTTGGTATTCCAGTATCAACTGCATGTGAAACTTTTAAATCAATGTTCAAATTTTCATTAAAAACATGGAGGCAGAAAATGCACATTCGATTTTCGACTACTTTATTCAAATTTCATGTTAAAAAAACATATCAGTTTGAAAAGGAAGACCATGAGGTTAAATCAGTATTTTTGTCCCGTAAGACCCTTAGTCCCATATAAGAAGATCTCACCATCCGAGTCCTGGCATTGTCTCTATTCTGTACGTCATACTTGGATCATTGGCTGAGTGCTTGTAGCCCTAAAAGAATTTAAAGAATGACTTGCAATAGACCCTATTTTACTGAGGGGATTTTTTTGCATTGTTTAAACATCACCATGATTTATTTTCTTGGATAATAATAGCAGATATTAGAGTTCTACTCTGTTGCCTTCAAACAATCGTTTCAAGTCAAGGCACTTGGGTTAATACAATAAATGCATACAAACTGACCAAAATGCAACATTTTGTTTGAAGGCAATAGAGTGTATCTTTAATATATTCTATTATGTATATCCTGTTACAGTGTCATGTGAAAAAGTACTGACCAGTGATAATGGCAAAGAAAAGTTTGCCTAATCGTCCCAATCAGACAAAACTGACACACACACGCACGCACACCTAAATACATCCCCAAATTGCTCATTATCACCAGCTAAAGCCTCTCTTTGTTTTTAACTTTAAACCAGCCGCTTTACCTGATCGTTCCAAGCTGATATACAAAACAAACTCTCGTCTTTCTCCAGAACAGGAAGGAGCTGTTGGAAGAAGTTTAAGATGTCCACCGATATTTCGAGATCTTCTTCTAGAATGATCAGATACTGTGCTTCTGGATTGTTGTCAAAGGATGTAGATAAACTTCTCTTATAATGCTGAATAAATAGTAAAATATATAATCGTGCATCACAGCTAGGCCTTAAATATATTGAAAGGCTCGAGTCTGTTATAAAAATCAATTTCAATAGAAACTAAAAATGCTAAATACCTGAGCGATTCTTCCATTTAATCTGCTTACTGGCTCATGCTGCACAGCATTCATTCCAAAAAGTTCAGCCACAGAGGCTGACTCTTTGAAGAAGCCATCAATATACACTGTAACCATGGATATATCTAGACCAATCACATTTTGTAGCGAGGTCAGCATTCTAAAGAAATAGTGAGGCCTGTTACCAACCATGACAGCAACTGGAAGGTGTAGCCTGCTTCCATCTGGAAAAGCTGGTGGGTCCATGTTAATGTCATACGGGTTACTACCTATAGCGATTTTTAAAAGTGTAAAAATATACTTAAGTAAAGTGTCATGTTGATTGAAAATTCATGTGTACACCCGTTGCATTTATTGCCTAAATTTTACTTTAGTGATCAAAACCTTTCATATCAATGGAACCTAAATAATCGTCCAAAGAAAAAAATGTTCATGTTTTCTTTGAAATTTGGCGCTAATTAATTTGGTTAACCCTGGTGTGGTTATAGTAGTTAGCCGGCCACATATTCAATTTATATCTTCCGATCCCCATGCAATTTTGAAAGCTCAAGGGTTAAATAAAGGTATTGTTGTTGTTGTTTTTGACTCGCATTTATGATATGATGGTCAAATTGTAATCCGTTATTTGAAGCTTAACGACAATAGAAGTACGTATATAGAAAGAATGAATGCTGCTATGTAATGAGGATATTTTGACATACTAAAATCGGGTTTGTAGCTTTTTCTGTTATAGGAAATAGCAAAAAGTGATATAAAGAATCTTACATCTGCACACCCCATGATATCCTTCATAAAGACTGCAGAACTTGCGTCTTCGTCGACTCGTTTCACTGTTTCCCCAGTCACAATGAACACTTTCCTCTTCTGATATAAATGTTGTCACCAGATCTACAGGACTTGCCCATGGCTCCTTCCCACATTTTTGGAAGGATTCCGCTAGTACCCGAGCACCTGACAGCTTTTTCTGGATCACCATAGCCCACATGTCTCTCCACCGCAACCGATTTATAAAACGACTTCCTAATTTGGTAAAATATTTACGAGTATCTTCTTTAAGATGATATGATGCTTCGTCCTTAAATTCGATTAAAAGTACAAATTAGGACAAACTATATCCATTTAACAAATMTGCAAATATGCATCCGACAAGCAGCGAACCAACCAACCAACCCACCCACCAACCAACCAACCCACCAACCCACCAACCAAACAACCAACCAACCAACCAACCAACCAACCAACAAAATCAAACAACTTCAGTAATGTATCACTATATATATTGCCTATAGCAGTCACTAAATATATTTCCTTTTCTGTCTCTATTATTCAATTCCAACTAAAAGTACAAATTAGGAAACTATATCCATTTAACAAATCTGCAAATATGCATCCGACAAGCAGCGAACCAACCCACCCACCAACCAACCCACCCACCCACCAACCAACCAACCGACCAAACACCAAACCAACATAACACAAGCAATCACACACCGATCCATATACAAGTTAAAAACAAAGATACTTTAAATAAGATTTTCCTAATTTAAAATCAAATCAAATACATTTTTACAGCCTGTATACTCATAGTTGGAAAGTAAAAGGACAGACCAATGTTGAATGTTAATAAAGTATCGCTATTTAGATAACTTATTTTTCCTTAAACTTATACTAGCTGCACAAGACTTGATGGAATCCAACGAAAAAGAGTTACAGGTCAAGAAGCGCCAAGCTGATTTGAATGAAGGCCGCGATCTTCTGGTCTCTTATCTAGGCAACGTTGGTGGATATGACAGGCAGTATCGTGACGTAGAGAGTCAAGAAGAGGGGGCAGGTAAAACCAAACAACTTACGACTAATTTTATTTATTCAGCTTCGCCATAAACAACTACAAACATACAATAATGGAGACGAGTGAAAAACGTCTGCGTATGATCTGAATTCGTGTTCAAATTAGTCCAAACATATGTAAATTTGACTTTCAAACATGCCTAATAAATTGGACTTCACAAAAGGTCAAAACTTAGTGTCCATGCTTGAAACTTAAGGCTAATTCTTTCATATTGTGTTNCCAACCCACCAACCCACCAACCCACCAACCCACACGGCAACCAACCCACCCACCAACCAGCCAACAAAATTAAACAACTTCAGTAGGTAATCTATCACTATATATATTGCCTATAGCAGTCACTAAATATATTTCCTTTTCTGTCTCTATTATTCAATTCCAACTAAGTTTCCATCAAAACATTACCTTTACGATAAAACATAAAATTCTGCCCACATTAATTTCTTCAACAAATTTCATTAAGTCCTCAGAATCTTGTTCACTGTCCAGTGTGTCAAAGTTTCGAGAAGCCATTCGCGCGCCAGTTTTTTGATTAAGGACGACAACATTGATGCCGATGTAGTTAACGTGATTGGCACTGAAAATCTGTGAATCAAATATAGAAAGAAGCTTAAATATTTTGAGCAGTGGGGGGATTTTTGAAAGGGGACGATTGTTGGAACGTCGTAGGGGTCTTTTGTGGCCGTCGTACCGAGTAAAAAACACGAGGGAGGGAAGCGAAAAGCACCACGTTTATTATATGTAACATTGAAACTCAGCATATTGTTAAGCATTGGCGGCGTACTTTGAGGGTCATGTCTTTTTTCTAGTAAAGTAATTGACGCAAACAATATAATTGAATATGTAGATGATGTCCGTTACCAATCTTAATCTCAATAATAGAATAAGTAATGACTAACGCGTTCCGCTCTGAGTGATCAAATATCATTTTAGAAAATATTGCCGCTTATTGTGTTATAGAAAAGAATACAAAATGGTTTTTCGTTTTAGATAATCTGATTGAAACACTTGTGATACTAGTGAATTGAAGCACGAGTGAAATCGCGATATTCTCGCCTCTCTTGTCGCATGTAGCCTTTTTAGTTCTCTCCTGTGTTTCTAGGGTTTTTTTCTCCGGGTTCTCCGGTTTTCCTCCCTCCACAAAAATCACTCTAAATTCCAAATGGAATCCAGTGGAAGAAGAACAGTTCTGTGTAAACATTGCTAATTAAACTTTTTTTAAAGCTAGAAACCACTCTATCTTGTTCTAAAGCTGTTTTATAACTCTTTAAATATCAATTATTATATGCCATAGGTTTTTTATAACCAAACTGCGACTTTTTTTTAAACAAATGTAGTAACGGATATATCCGTGAAGTGCGTGTCGACGTCGTTAACACGTCTGGAAATTAATTGCTGCCTGAAATTGCAATTTCATAATTAGGCTACTAAAGCAAAATACATGCTATTCGATTCTAAACAAATGCTCGCGACACATTACGCTCAGAGTAATAAAAGCTGTATAGTCCCAAAAGCCTTTGACATCTTGAATTGTATGATAGTTTGAGTTTAAGTTTGGTCAGAAAAATGAAGAGTGAGTTTTAACCTCTGCGTGACCAATATGTCGTGTAAAGTAAAAAAAAAGAAAACAAACAAACAAACAAACAAAACAAACAAAACAAAACAAAAGCAAATCTACAAATGCTGGTAACAAACTTTAACTTAATTGGAATTTTGCCGAAAGTGATCAAACTCAGTTCTAAAAGATAAACGACTTTTTGCCTTGCTCTTTGGGAAGGTGATGCTTATTATTATTACTCTTAACTTTAAATTCTTTTTCATTTCGAAAATCAAAGGCGCGGAAAGGGTTTCAAGGTGATGATATATATGGTAATAATAATAAACTTTAGATGTATGTATAAATTGAGCGAAAAAGCACCATGGGGCCGAGACAAAACTAAAAAAGTAAAGGTTAGAAGAAACGACCCTTATTATGAATGAAATTCTATCTTAATGTGTCTATTTAACTGAATATTAATATATGAAGAGTATGATATAAATTGGTTCTTGGATATGTAATCTCCCCAGATGTATTTTCTTTTCTTAAAATATGACCTTGGACAAATAGATGAAATGGCTCAAATATTATTCAAATGTTAAAAACATTGAAAGATATATGAGATATATTTCATCTATTTGTCCAAGATCACATTTTAAGATAGAATCATTTAAATTTTTAGGRGGAAATAATTTGGGGATACCATTTTTCATCACTGAGGAGTTCCTATATTTAGCTGGTGATGTAAGAAATAGACTGCTAAGTGTGATAGCAGTCAAGTTTGTTTTAAAGCGGAAATCGCTTGATCAATCAGATCAATGAATCTTATTACCAGCCATGAGTAAACAATCAATAACTCACTCCTCAGGAGTTTAATACGAGACGTCTCGTCCTGTCCACATAGAAACAAGGCGCTGCAGAGAAACAATTTTAAGTAATCCCCTGGGCGCTTTCTACTTAAATACCTAATGTTTTAAATGATTGTTGTAAAATACATTCAGTATTAAACTCCTGATGGGGGAAGCAACTCCACCTCACGAAACAGCGTCGTAGAGATACAACAACTAGCCATGATTTGATTTTCCTGACCAGTAGTTTATATATATATATATATATATATACTTGATTTATACTATACTTGATTGTAGAAAGGTCGTAGTGTACATTTGTACCAATATCCAATGAGATGCAAGATATCAAATGAGATGCAGAATGTAAAACATGCTTAAATACGATTGCTTAACCACAAAATTCTGTGGAAAACACTTTTTTACTTAACTTTGTGTAATACTTAATGTCTATGATATAGAAGATAAAGACCAAATAACATACTTTGTTAATTTTGCATCTTATTTGATATCTTGCATCTCAAAACCTAAGACATGTAGCCAATACCTACCTCGCAATTAGCTTTCTTGGTAAGCATTCCCGATTTGTGGTTTCGAAAACGAGCTTTAAACTTTTCTCTTTCTCTCTCTCTCTTTTTTTTTTTTTTCTTTCAAAGAAAAAGAAGAGAAGAGAAAAGAAAGCTGAGAAAGACTAAGAAAAGGTTTTAAACATATTTACCTTTTTGTTGTTGACTGTAACAGACACGTTCATCCTGCTGGAATAAACTTCTATGTTAAGAACAGGATTTTCTTTGGTTGGCAAGAATTTGTTCAGGCTACCCTCTCGAACATCCAGGCGCTGATCTGAATAAACTATAAAAAGAATTTCATAAATTGGTTGTCAAATGCGTTGACCACCTTTTAAAGTAAAAAAAGGATGCTCTTGACACTTACAATTCGGCTATTGAACATTCTGAACGGTACACCATAATGAAGTTTATTGAAATCATAGTTATTTCTTAATTTAAGACTATATGTAGTTGTTTTCATGGTAGAGTAAATGCCATTTCCATAAGATACTGAAATTATTATATTCGCGGTACACCCAAATTGCATTTCTTAAACTGATTCTAACTTATGGGGAAATCATGCAACTTCGTTGTTTTGTTATAATGTCAAATTGCTTAAGTAATATTAGCTGACCACAAGAAATTATTACTATGTCGTAGTCAAATTATCAAAGGGCCACACGCGTCATATACGGCTGTAAATCACGATCATTGGGTGAACAAAATACGTGCAGTAAATCAGTTTAACTGGATCATCCATTGCGTGCATTTTTACTACAGAAAAGCCAGAGAGACTTAACTGATTATTACATAAGTTGACGATTTTTTTGGGCCTTAGCAGGATTACTCTGTAAGGGTGTCTTTATTCCTTATACTTTTGTCACTAGTATCCACATTTAATCTTACCAGAAGTTCATGAACTTCTGATCTTACCCATTTCGTCCTGTATTGCGTTCGAAATTTTCACTTTTTCCTCCCCTGCGATTCCTACGTCCCACTTGGTCTTCACCCACGGAAAAACTTTACTATTTGTTGAACATTCTCGCATTGGCAATTGAAAAAAGAAATTTGCTGTAAAAGTAAGAAACCCTGCAGAAAGTAGAAGAAGTCGAAGCAAGCGTCCGTCCATTATGTTACCTGGTTTAAAATGAAATCAGTGTGACACGTTGATAATGGCCCAATAAGGACTAAAGGAAATTTAATAATTTGAATTTTGTTCTTTTTTTTCTTTTTATTCATTAATCCGATAATGTAAACACATGAGCAATTTTCAATTACTTTATGAATATACCGCTTCTTTAACTTTGGTATAATGTTATTATCTTGAGAATAAGTATTTGTCTGAGTTCTGTCTTTTTACTAGAACCGTTATCCAAAGAAATGAGCCGAGGGAACGACACGTGATCATAAATTAGAAATAGGAATTTCCAGTACATTGTTACCTCGAGCTAGTAAGTGAGTGATAGGGTGACACCGAACCATCCTAAAATGACTTGTGGATTTATCAATGCAATCAGTGAGTTAGAAAGGTTGAAGCCGCTGTCACGAAACAGTTCTGGGTTCTTAAGAGAATGAAAAAGTTGCCAAGACGATGTCTATCTATTTATGTCTTTCTAGCATATTGTTGACAATTTTAAGTAACAAGAAATATTTTTTTTAAGAAAAACAACTGATTATTTGCATATTCGATTAGCATTTTTAACCGTTCATTTGCGTAATGGCAATATGAAGAAAAAAATATTTTTCTAGCGTTTGGGGTTTATGGACCAAAACGGAGTGGATGCCTCTTCAATGACCTCAAAAAAGACCTGCAAATCATACCTGTGATTTTGAATTGCATATAATTAAGGGTTTAATCATAAAACCTATGGCAATTGAGTTATAAGGAATGAATGTATTTATATACGTTTTACTGACACTACCTATACGGACAGCTAGGTTTAGATGTCAGGTTTAATTATTCTTCAATTTTTACTCCTTTGAAAAACTAAACAAATCCGTTAGTAAATTACCTGGGTCAAAAAAAAGTTCAAAACGTGGAAAGTGGGAATTATCAAAGTACGAAAAAAATGTTTTTTAAAAATCAACTTGTGGACATTGCCTTTTTCCTGATATAGCCTGCTGGGCGTAATGTTTACCCATTTTACGTGTCATTCTTTGGGTGTCACTTTGTTGCTTAACGTATGAGAAACCCATAAATTCATTGTCAACAGGCAGTCGTTGATCGCTTGGGTCCCGACAATTTCCAATAACATGAGACATACTTTGACTTAACTAGACCCTGTCCGCCAGTCTCGTGAAACGCATAAAACAGTGTTGACATTGTAGATAAATCTCGTTTGTCACGTGTCAATTTTCCCCATAGCAACAAGCACGTGGTGGGCAAGCTAACTTGACCTTTCTTGACAACCAAAGAGCGTGACTGGCCTACTGCAAGGACAACCTTCTTTCGGAAAAGTTTTTTCGACCATTACATATTTTCCCCGGTATATTAAATTTCACTGGCTCCAAATCATTAACATAGTTGACATTTGCTACCAAACAATTTTTCTTAAAGTATACGTTATATCAGAGATTAACCAGATATATTTTCCTTGAGCATGTAACATCGCATCTTTTTTTCCCCCGACAGTAATCAAATATATGGGGTTGAACCATCTTTCAACGAATTTAAAGTTTACTCCGCTTCCTCCTAGGGTAACGCATGAAAAAGTAAACTGATATCGTTTATATATTTGCTATGGTCTTCTTTACGTAATTTTTCAGCGTAAAAGTTAGCTAGACATCTTCTTCTTTGGGTCTTTTCTCGGTTTTTGGCATGTCAATAGGTGCAATATTATCTGGTTTAAAGGAGCAATACTTAGAAGCAGGACATCCAACCACAATGATATGATTCTTTTTATACCACAACCTGAACATGCTGTTGTGAAATCCTCTTGCATCAAGATCCCATATTCTGAAGCATCGAGCAACATTGGTCCACGTTTGATAGTCTCGCTTGTGTTTCATTGTAATATAAAACAAGTAGGTCTTGCCTTTAGTGTTTGGGACAAAGTTCTTGAGATCTGAACACGGAGTTTTCTTGTGGTCCAGCAGTGTGGCGGCACTGAAGAAACAATGAGAATGGTAAGATTACTAAGGGTGAAATTAATGTATTCATTATTATGTGAAAGAAGTTGGAATAAAAACCAAATTTAATGTAAAACATTAAGTAATTTAGTTTAGCTTTTAATAGTTAACCTAATCAGTTGTTTTTACAGGCCAATTGATGCAGTTCCCTTTAAAAAATGTTTGCGGTTGTACTCATATTCATCGCTTTTCGTGTACAACCAATAAACAAAAAAATGATACTCTAGAAAATGACGTGTTTTGTACCAAACCTTTTTACTGATACGGCAGCCAACCTAAAGTATGGGGTGCGCAGGGAGGAAATGCAGAACTATCTGTAAAGCATAGAGTGCCGAGTCATAGTTCTTTTTCAAATGATTTTGCGCTTTGATGTTTTACATATCGGTCAAACTACCAGCAAATTCTATGTTTTTTTTAAATGTTTTCCTCATTGGTTAACGTAAACGTACTAAAGACACCCTTACATTTCAGTTGTTGTCGGCTATTAAATGTTCTCTTCCCTCGGCATCCCATAATCTGCATTTTTAGGCAGAAGTGGCACTGACTAACTTTACGCATTAATAAAGCAACACTTAGTAACATTGTACTTGGGCGTAATATAATAAGACGTAGCACTATAGCTATTAATGAAATGCATGATGGAGAAAGAGATATAGCTTTCGCATCTCTGTAGAGTATCACCAACATGACCGCAACCGAATAAATCTTGTCCAAGTTAAATATAAAGCAACTTTTAGATAATTCAAACGTTGAATTACTATTCAAGTAAAGATTGTGGGCCGCTTACCTTATGAGTCTATGTATTTCTTTTTCATAACTTTCTTTGAACATGAGGTCAGCATTGAGCTTGACGTTAGCTTTTTTGTTAAAAGCATGCTTTTGAAAATAATCAATTTGAAAACCTGGACCAACGTTCAGTCCTTTTGCGCCAAAATGATAAGTCCTTGAAATATCTGGGATTATACATTCACGGCCTTTAATCTGTTGATCCATCCTTGTCCACATGTCCCAGTCAAACAGGTGTTGAGGTCCGGGCCATTTTTTCTCAAGTTCGCCCTTGTAGATTTTGCGACTCAAAACCCTGTGCAAAAGAGACAGATGGAATCAACTTATACCCATTACACCTGGGAGTGCGTTAAGGTTTTGTCATCACAGGTCACTTCTCTGAAAAATGAATAGACCCGGTTTATTTTTAGACATAATTACGCCACGGTTAGTGACTACTGCAAATATTGATTTTAGTTAAAATGAACTACTGTTGGATTACTAAATACATATTTTGGCAATATATATTTTCTGCTAATTTCATATTTTCACCTTATAACATACTTTCATCTCAAGACACTCATTTTTAAAGTTTTTTAATTGGCAGGGCCTGCAAGCATTTTTTGTCCGTCTTCAAGGGACCCTGGGCTGAATTCATTAGTCATTCAGGTGATGATCATGAATGGTCCATACGTGACTTCTCGACGCCTAATTGTAYAGGTTTTAATCAGCACGACTTGCAACCAATAGAGCGTTTTCACTCACGTGAGGAGGCAGCCATAAACAATAGAAACTTTCTGCACAATATTTGAATAAAAATAGCTCGTTCAATTCCCGGAGGATAGAAAATGTATTGTTTTTGGTACCCCATGATAACCGCTGTGACGTCACGTGAAAACGCTCTATGGAAGCCCAGTGGGATAACATATAAGTTAAAACATATATCGGTCAATGAGTTTTTCTCGCGTACAAAGTTAAACAGCATCTATCGCACAAAGTTGGCTCGATTCATATCAATAATATTGTTACGAATAATATTACCATCCGAGGCCTGGCATGGTCTCTATTCTGTACAACATGCTTGGGTCATTAGCTGCATGGTCGTAGCCCTAAAATTAAATAATCATCAAATGAATGCCTCCCATCATGATAGTGGGTTAAACAACATTAGGATTGCATCATCTTTATTATGTCCACGCATTCACATAATACAGTCTTCTTTAGCGGGAATCCAATAGTATTTTGCCTTTGGTTTCCCTCAGGTAAGGGCAATGAAACCGAAGACTATCCCATGATTGTTATTTGGATTACTTTTCTCTACGCGTTATGAATCAAAGGCGTTATGTTACCTTGGATCGGAGCAAGTAAATGCAACCAGATCAAAATCGCTCACCAGCTTAACTCATTATTCATTTCTTGTCTATTAATAACCACACGTTTTACCTGATCATTCCAAGCTGATATACAAAACAAACTCTCGTCTTTCTCCAGAACAGGAAGGAGCTGTTGGAAAAAGCTTAAGATGTCCACCGATATTTCGAGATCTTCTTCTAGAATAATCAGATACTGTGCTTCTGGATTGTTGTCAAATGATGTAGATAAGCTTCTCTTGTAATGCTGAAAGCCAAAATGATTTTTTAAAGAGTTGAATCAGCTTTAATGTTGAAAGGTGATGTTTGAGAGAATACRAAATCAATTGACGATCTCAACTTTCCAATGCACAAAATTCATCAAATGTTGAAACCGCCATTACAGCATTACATTGTGTGGGGCGGCTCCATAATTCATGCAGATACAAGTTTAAGATAAATTTGCACATCAATTAAAATCGAAAATAAAAGGCAAAAGTCGTCAACAAGAAGACAAAAGAACTCATAAAAATATGTGTGAGACACAGGAAGGACATCTATGACTGCATTAACCCAAAGCAGTTAGGAGAGAGAGAAAGGAAATACCATTTTCCTACCCATGATACCCACTGGTATTTATGCCGAAAAACAAGTTGATCAATTACTTACCTGAGCTATTCTGCCATTCAGCCTACTGACGGGCTCATGTTGAACAACCTTTAATCCGAACAACTCAGCCACAGCAACTGATTGGTGATATACTAACCCATCGATATATACTGTTACCATGGATGCATCTAAACCAATCACCTTCCGTAGAGATTTCAGCATACGGAAGAAATAGTGGGGTCTATTACCAACCATGACAGCAACTGGAAGGTGTAGCCTGCTTCCATCTGGAAATGCTGGTGGGTCCATGTTAATGTCCTGTGGGTTATCACCTAAATGGCATGAAATTTGAAAACGTCAGCGTCATAATCTTAGCAATCGTTGTATAAAGCCCCATAGCAAAAAAATAGAGGTGTTGGATGATCACGTACCATCAGTCATGTTAGATGACAATGAGATCATTAACCAAATAACCTAGGCTGCAATAACCGGGTTTCGATATACCAACAAAGACAAATCATAAATTAGTAGTCTTATTTTGAATTTATTAATTTCAATAGAAAGTGTCTCTTGGGAAATGCCATGCCAACATATCACGTATGTACGTTGATTTTATAATCTTATCAAAATGATCATATGCATAATTTGTACTATCAGCAGAAAATGTGTGATTTTTCAATGGTGCACTTACATAAGCAAACCCCATGATATCCTTCATACAGACTACAGAACTTGCGCCTTCGTCGACTCGTTTCACTGTTTCCCCAGTCACAATGAACACTGTCCTCTTCTGATATAAATGTTGTCACCAGATCTATAGGACTTGCCCAAGTGAACGGCTTCTTGTCAGATATTTGGAAGGATTCCGCTAGTACCCGAGCACCTGACAGCTTTTTCTGGATCACCATAGCCCACATGTCTCTCCATCGCAAGCGATTTATAAAACGACTTCCTAGCTTGGTAAAATATTTACGAGTATCGTTCTGAAGATTATACGATGCTTCGTCCTTAAATTTGTAAAACTTAAAGTAACATAAGGAAATATACAAAATAATAACATATTAAAAAAACAACCGACCATTCAACCAACCAAACAACCGACCATTCAACCAACCAACCGACTAACCAACCAACCGACTAACCAACCAACCGACTAACCAACCAACCGACTAACCAACCAACCGACTAACCAACCAACCAACCAACCAACCGACCAACCAACCAACAAACCAAGTTATTCACCTTGGGAACAAGGGTGCGCAAGTACATGGAAGCGAGGTCATAAAAGCCTGATTTCTCTACACGATCGCAATGCATCATGGCGTCAGTGCGAGTTCTTTATCAGGTATCAATTTCTTGAAGCGCAGCTTGAAACAGATAACTACACGCATGTAAACTTAAGTTTATTTACTAATTAGGCCGTTATGACCTCGTTTGCATGCTCTTGTCCTCTGAAACACCAAGCGTGTTTGACGGTCCAATTAAATGAAGAGCTCTATCACCACCTCATCAATCAGGAATAGACCAGTTTCGAGTTCCAAATTACCGCTGTCTTTCTTGATTACAGACTCGTTTACTCAGGCTTAGCATCGAATCGGTGTCTAATTACTCGCAAATACCAACGGTAAAGTAAAGAATGCACGACTTCAACAATACGAACACTTTGAAACTTGACGGACCTTGACTGGAACACGTGAATATTCTTCACAAAATCGAGGCTAAGCCTGAGTGAACGTGTCTCTAATCAAGCAACACAACGGTAATTTGGAACTCGAAAAGGGTCTGTATTGGTCAAAACGGCAAAATCTACTTTAGACTTCCTTTACAAATACTTTTAATTACCTTGACAATGAAACATAAAATTCTTCCTACTGTAATATCCTCTACAAATTTCACTAAATCCTCAGAATCTTGTTTACTGACAAATGTGTTGAAGTTTCGAGAAGCCATTTTGGCGCCAGTCTTTTGATTAAGGACGACAACATTGAGGCCGATGTAGTTAACGTGATTGGCACTGAAAATCTGTTAAAGAATTTTATATACGAACCAATTAGTGTATACTTTAATTCCTGGACAACTACTGAACGTACGTTTGAAAGACCTTCCAGGATTTCTACATTTCTATTGTGCAATCCAATTAAGATTTTCCCACTTTGCCTAAGACGCAAGATTTGTGTTCGCATTTCAACCTACAGGATTTCTCATTAGCATAATATTTTTCTCTACTCTAGGATCCGGCTCAACCAAATATTCTTAATAAGTGCTTATTACTTCAAGATTTTTCATGGATTTTTTTGGTCATTGAACAGCTCCCCTTATCTTTGTAGAATTTATACCTGAGAATATTGCCATAGACACTTTAACTGACATAGCTCATAAAATGAAACCCACTTTATTTGTCGAAACCATGTACAGGCGTTTTTCGCTCAAATCTGTTGTCCTAGAAACACACTTTGATTGACATCTCTACAAACACTTCAATCCAGTGCCTGTTGATGAGATGACTGGCATATTTGCTAAAAATATGAAAATTACATACGGTTTTATTGTTGACTGTAACAGACACATTCAACCTGCTGGAATAAACTTCTATGTTAAGAACAGGATTTTCTTTGTTTGGCACGACTCTGTGCAGAGAATTCTCTAGTACCAGGCTATCTACATCTATAAACAAAAAAAGATTTCAATATCACGAGATATGCGGAATTCCACACTAAATTTCATTAATTATGAAAAACATATCAATTTTCTCGAGTGAATATTCCAGGATTCAATTGAGCAAAGATTGAAAATAGACTCCATTTACAGAGRAAAAAAAACCAAGATAAAATAATATGCAAAACTTAAAGCGGGTTCTTGGGATTTTCCTTGGATAGGACCTTTCGGCGTGGGTGTAATGTTTTCCCATTAAAGATCACTTGTCATTCCCTTGTGTATCATTTCTTTGTTAACGGTTGAGCATTAGAAGACGCATGAATATGGATACAGCTCAAAAAAGAATTTTATTCTCAAGAGAAAGACAAGTGATCTGAAATGGGAAAACGCCCGAACTGAAAGGGTTTATCAATTCGGCTTCGAAAACATGGTATTCTACTTTTATATTAGCCCACTCATGGAGAGAAAATTAAAACCCGATGCTAATGACACTTTGCACAACCTTTGATATTTTGATGATTTGTTAATATGATCATTATTTTGTACAGTTTTTTTTTTTCTCTCTCTCTCTCTCTCTCTCTTCTCTTTCTTTTTCCCTTAAATAATCATTGTAAAGTAGCGGTAATTAAGCCTGAATTTCATAATGATCATGCAGTCGCGCGAAAGGGAAGCTGTACTCGATGATAACAGTGATGGCAGAAACCCACATTGTAAAGTTTAGCAGTGATAATCCGTATAAAAAAACACCACTAAACCTAGAAATTAAAGCGAGTTTCATACCAGATTTTCTAATAAATAAGCAGCTTAACTCTATAGCTATACTTCTATAGTCGTCTGCTTTGTTGACTTCCAAACCCAAACATTTGGGGCTGTGTTTGTGATGGAATTACTATGACAATGAGTACAGCGGTAGCTTCATTTTCACAACCAAATTAAAATGAAAACACAAAAAAGTATTGTATGGATACCGAGATCACGAGACGGACTACCTATTACTGAACATTCGATCGAACTGCTGAATTAGTATAGGTAATAGGACTACATGCTGTCCGATTTGGAAATCCTTGGACGAAGAAAATTCCGAGGACTGACAAAATTGAAAGAGGCCGACGTGAGGCCGACGTGAGGCCGAGTCCAATTTGGCAGTCAGAGGATTTTTTTGAATCCAATTAATATTCCAAGTTGGACGACATGTTACTCCTATATTGCAAATTAATTATATCATCCCAAACTATACTTGACTGATTCCATAAGTCATAGTTTTCCCTCGAAAGAATACGAATGGAAACGATCCAAATTAATCTTTAATTTGGACATGAAAGAGTATTTGAAAATAATACAATAGTTGCTTATATGGGATTATAGAGTGATGATACAATTACTATGGCAATCGTTATGATTTATTAGGGAATCTTAGACTTTGCACTGAGCTATATAGATTTCTGAGCCTCATTCATTTATTATTATACCGATGTGGTTTTCAAGGGCAACTTTTTAAGAAAAAATGAATGAAGAAGAGAAAGAAGTGGTACGTTCAGGCGATAGCGGTTAATGTCTGCAATTTTGATTTTAAAAGTTTATCCGGTGTTTCGATATATTTCATCATTGATCATTTTATAGTAACGATAAAAGAAGAAGAAGAAGTAACTAAATAATAA